TCGAGAACAAATTAATAGTTCTCCCTATAAAAAAAATTGGAGGCAATATAAGTGCAAGGCTATGCACTAGGGTGACCGCAACTCATAGGGGGTAGAAAAAAATGTCGGAGTTTTGTTCGTCTGGACCCCACAACCAGATATTAAGTTAGCCGAAATTTGAGCTCGATTAAACGACGCTAGCCCATGCCGCTCGTCGATCAAAGTTTGAAAAAATCCAAATTTTTGGCCAAAAAGCTGACATATGGAGCCATAACTCCAGAACGGTAAATAATAAAAATACGCTTAATATCTCAAAAGAAAGCTAATGTTGTTCTTAAAAATTTGTAGTCTATACATAATTGTTGTTATTTTAAGTCAAACCGAGTTACAACAGCCTTTAGCCCCAAAAACATGACCTGGTACCACTAAGAGCATACTTCGTATATTTTGTTATTAAGTGATAAATTTTGCTTTTTTTGGTATAATTTTGAGTTTAAAGTAGAAGTATAATAAAAAAACAAGTAATACTGATAAATCTAATGACATTTTTTATTTTAAAATATAAAAATTAGGTATATAATACATACAAAACAGACAAAGAAAAGGATACAGACGTAGTAACTACATGAGTTGATTTTACATAGTTATCTAATCTATTCTAGAGCTTTTGTTAAAGTAGTTTTTGAAACGCCAAATTGCTTTTGGCCTTCATCTTTAGTCAGAAGGTTGTTAAAGTCGGTTATTAATTTAACACCACGCTCAGCCATACCATTAACCACCTTTAATGTTTTGACAATTTTCAATCCTTCTTGGAAGTCATTATTTTGAGGCCAGGTGTTTGGATGTTGTCTTAGGAAATCTGTTTTTATATTAAATCGGTTAAAGAATGTAGATGTTTCTTTGGTAAGTAAATTTACCAATCCTCCATCAACTACCTCTTTTAATTTTTCTTTCCTAACTTTTGGATTTACAACCCTAGCGTGCTCTGATGGTTCATCTGTGCTACTGACCAATTTATTAGCCATTAACAATTTTTCATCGTCTGTAATGGTGGGATCAAAAAAAGATAATCCCACCAACTCTGCATTCAAATACCTTCTTGGATTTGTCGGTTCATTTTTGCAAGTTCCTTTTGCCCCTTGATTTCTTCAGCTCGAGACAACTTGAGATCCACTCCAGTCATGGAACCTGGGCGGCCCTTCTGCCTCTGTTTTACGAGAAACGCCTTATCTTCTTCCGATTTCATCAGAACCAAGGCATCTTGCTGAGCAATATCAAAGAGATCATCCAACTTTTCAAAGAACTGTTTAAATTTGTTCTTAGCCGTTTCCGATGTTTTCTTCCGGTCTTTTTGAAAAGTTCTCCACTCGGCGTAAAGTTTTTCCAGCTTAGTAATTGCATCTTGCTCATGTTTAGTCGGAATTCGAGCTTTCTCCCAAAAAATGAACACTTCTCGTATGTCAAGTTTTGCTGATTCTCTTACAGTTAATTTTACAGCACGTAAATTATAAAATAAAACACACAAAACTTGACGATTTGAGGGTAGTTTACAACCGGTGATTTGGTGAATGGGATAGCCCACAAGAAATAATTTATCCTTGGTTCGGCTTTGTGCACCTGATGTGGATGCCATTTTATCCGTAAAACATAAGCATACCACTCTATAGGCCGTCTTATATTTTCCTAAAAGGAGTAATGCAAATAATTGTATAAATTAAATATAATTACCTACCTGATTTTTTGTTAAAACTTAACCTTTACCTTTATTTAGTAAAATACACACAGGTAAAACTAAATAATAATTTTTGGAGCAAATAGTAAAAATAATTTTAAAGAGCCATTTGTTTAAATTTAATCTTTTATTATATGGGGATTACCTGACTATTAGTCTGACTATATTTGAAAAAAAAGCTCTTTTTGTTTGAAAATTAAGTTCCAAAATAGTTTTTAATAAAAAATGTTAATTCCGAGACACATTATGTAAAAACCCGTAAAACTCTTAGAATACACCCAAACTGGCTCCTAATGCTGCCAGGGCACGTTTTTGGGGTCAAAGGCTGTTGTAACTCTGTTTGACTTAAAATAACAACAATTATGTATAGAATATAAATTTTGAAGAACAACATTAGCTTCCTTTTGAGATATTAAGCGTGTTTTTAATATTTACCGTTCTGGAGTTATGGCTCCATATGTCAGCTTTTTGACCAAAAATTTGGATTTTTTCTTTGAGCGACGAGCGGCACGGGTTAACGTCGTTTAATCGAGCTCAATTTTCGTCTCTCTCAATATATGGAAAGGGGAATCGTTTTGTGGGGTCCAGACGAACAAAATTCCGACATCGATTTTTTGCGGTCACCCTACTATGCACCCTTTAAATTTGCCACGGATGCTGCCAACAATAACTAGCTATTGCAATATATGTATGGGGGCCTCGTGCTCTTGTTCAGATGCTTGTCTCTGACACTGAGATACCACAGTTATTAATAACAATTGTTTCATGAATACTAAGAGAGAGGTAAAACCTTCCCTAAAATATAAAGAGTATGATGATGTACCATCATATAAATTGGCTAAAGAAAATTTTATACCGCAACTAGCCAAAAAAGTGTGTCAGAAGAAGGCTGACGAAAACACTACAAAAAATCTTTTTTTCTTTTCTTTTGGCATTTTTTAAATTTTAATATTGGTTATGTATGTATGTATGTATTTTCTTCTTCTTCTTTCTTCCAGACTATATTCCCGTCGAACAATTCTCGTAATTTTTTTTTAACCAAAGTACGACTTGACGTTCAACCGACGTAAATATACGTCGAACAATGACTTCGGATACAAAGTTATTATCCGACCGCAATTTTCACTTAAAGCGACGTCGAACATAGTGCAAGTTTAGTCGGAAGTCATAAAAATGTTTATTGGGAAATTTTTATTCGAAAGCAAAAACCCTCACATTTTTCTTATATATTTGTAATTGCTAAAATTGACTTTGTAAAGCATCAAAACCTTCAATGAAAATTAAAAAAATAATACCTAAAACTTCATTGTTAATTTTTTTATTTAGACAAACTCACAGACCTGTAGGTCTGTGGACTAACTACTTAAATATCTTTTAGACTTTTTATTTTTGTTGGTAATTTTTAATTTTTTTAATCTTTTATTTAGAAAAATTGGAATAATTGTTCATAGGCAATATTTTTTAAAGATGGGTTGCAATTTCGCAAACTGCTTCTTTGTCACTGCTCAGGTGGCGTCACAATCGCAAACAAATAAGATTTTTTAGATTTGTATTCATATTGATTTAAAAGTTGTAGTATCTTGAATTTAGAAAATTGTTAATAAATTCAAAATACCTAAAAACTACTTCATTGAAAATTTGTCGTTTAAGCTATTTTGCTATATTTTAATTTGTTTACTTTAAGTATAATACTATACTATTATTTAGATCATATTTTTTTGATTTTGTTAATTGACAATATTTTTTTTTAAAGTGTAGGTATTTATTTGTTTTTTTTAATAAATTTTTGTAATGTTTTAAAAAATATTTTCAGTACCAAATCAACACTGATACGATAGAGACGTAATAGTTTCTCCGCTCTGAACTATAAACAATTATACAGTGCATAGTCAGCTCACTAGTGCATTTAAAAGCTAATCTAAAAGTTAAAAAGTGCGAAGTGAACTGCCACCCCACCAGTCGAAGTCACGGAACCACCCACCTGAACAAGTAGTTTATCGCGGCATGAACCAGGAAGGAGCCATATTCAGATAAGTTTTTAATATTTGCATTTCGCTATTTGCATAAATAAGATTTACCGAGCATACGGTTGTGTTTATACCTTTTATACAGGTAGTACTTAATAAACGCATAAATCTTCTGTAAGTAATGAAACCATTTTCTAATCTTTGCCTTAATAAACAAACTGAAAACCCTTTTCGAGTATAAAAAAAATAAATAGTAGAAGCAGTAAAAATAAATACAAATGCAATTTCTTAATTGTTAAATATGAAAAGAAAACGTAAACACAATTTCTACCACAACAAGAAAACAACGAATAGACGTTTTTAATAAATAGTTTCTACTGCTTAATAGTTAAATTAATAATTATAGGGATTGCTTAGGTGAATAAACAAAAACTATTCTAAAAGAACGATTTTTTATTTCTGAATTAACATTTTTATTTATAATAGGTAATCCTTACTATCTTCAACTTCAATCTAATGTGACTTCCACAAAATTTTCCAATTTTACTTTTTATGAAATAATATCATACAGCTTATGGTTTAGAGGTCAAATTATTTATTTAATATTTTTAAATAAATTTATATTAATGTGTCGCAAAATTTTTTAAGGGGACGACAAATACATTTCACTGTCATATTATGACCGTGAGGCGTATTTGTCGTCTCCTGAAGAATTTTACGAATGTAGAATACAACATATTAGAACGTGGGTATCTGACATATTTGGAAATATTCTCCATAAGAAACCTTCTAAGAACATTCCAAAAACGTATTCTTAAAATTTTCTTAGGATGCTTTTTAGGAAGGTTTTAAGAAGCTTTTAAGAATCTAATTGCATCATTAAAGAATATTCGATTATTCCGGGTCATATCTTCTTAGAAGATTCTTAAAATCAAATTTTGCTATCAGGGATTTCATTAAAATAAAAAAGTATCATCTTTTAGGCATTAGAAATAGGTTTTTTGTTTTACAATTCTTTTTAGGTTTTAAACAATTGATTTAGACTATGGTTAAGTAGACCAAATTAATTAGGGAAGTAACGCACATGTATGTACAATGTAGGTTCTACATATTATTTAGTACATACCTATGTAAAGGTTATAACATTATGAAAACGTAAATTTGAATTTAAATTATTAAACAGCAAATTGCAAATATTATTATAATTAATTTAAAAATAATTCATAATAATTAAATGTAATATTATTTTTTTAAGGAAATACCTGTACCTACATTTTTAGGACTAAAAATACATACAAATAAATAGGTAGTATTTAACTTACTATATATTGTTGTTGTCCAATATGCTTCATTTATTAAATAATGTAAACTGCACAGGAAAGAAATAAATAATTGTAAATGAAATAAGACTTTTAACCAGTCCATTTCTCTTTTAGTTGATAGATTTTCCATTTCGGAACCTATATTTTTGCTAACACTAAAATTCAATCAAAGTTAAAGACTGACTAATACTAAAAGGCACTTCAAGGTAAATGATCAAATTGAATAGCTGACAAATTTAAATAAACCTATCAATATTAATTTTATTTCATGAAACAATTAAAATTTTCATTATTCAAATTTAATACATAAGTACCCTTTATATATTAACATTGCAAGCTTCAATAGCTTAATTAATGTAAGGATTATACCGTCTTTATAGTTTATTTATTCAGTGGCAGATCCAAGATGGAGTGGGTTATTGCTTATAATTTTTTAACAAAACCCATATAATTGTCTTTTTCCTTTCGACGGAAGGGGGTCCCGACCCGGTTTCATGCTTCTGCAACTACCTATATTACATTATGTAATAACTTATACCAGGGGTTCCCAAACTTTTTCAGTTCGCGGGGCACTTGAAGGTTTGATTTTTTCATGGCCCGTCAGTTACAATGTTTGTACTACAGCATTATCAGACTCAGTTTAGTTCAAAAAATTATATTCCTTAAAAAAGCATGACAAGCGGTTTCCCTTGGCTTCCTCCGCGCATACTTTGGGAAGCTAAAAGAGGACATTGCCATATTATACCCTAAAAGAGGACATTGCCATATTGATTTTTGTATATAAGTTTCTTATTTAATGGTTTAAGTATTTAATAATGGTTTAGTATGTTTACCTAAATTATATACATATTGATTTGTAGCTAATGCATTTTAAATAAGCAACATTCTAATGAAATTCAGTGAACCTGGCATTAACCCATACTTAACTTATGTAGGTATTTTTAAAGAAATAAAACAAAGGTTTGTGTTTGTGTAAGAAATATTATTATAACAATATGTAAATAAAATTAATAAAAATAAAATTACATATTACAAAACTATTGTAACAATTTATATATAATATTTATTAAAATAATTTTTTTTATTTATAAATAATGACTGGCCTCAACAATAAGTAGTTATAAAGAGAATAGTTACTACAGACATAAAAAAGTTAAGTAAACCACACATATTAATATTTCGTTAAAAAAAAGTTTAAAAGCAAAAAAAAATGGTATCAAATCTACAACTTGTGCATATTTCACAAAAGGCAGCATGAAACATATAGGGACCTTTTTAGGTTAATTGTTATCACACATTAAAAAAAATACGAGATAGTATTTTAAAGCAATTTAATATAAAAACATCCTGTATATGCTTTTGCAAACTATTAAATACATATTATATATTCTTGCATAACATGTTTTCGATATATATTTATTCATTTGTAGCACCATTGTTTATTAAAAAATTATTTTAAATAGTTAGGTGAGTTATTTTAAAAATGTTAAGTTTATAGAAAAAACCCGGTTACGGCTTTTATTTAGCTATGATTCTTCTCATCTGCCATACATTCTAATTCTTCTAGGTCTTCTTTGTCTATATCCTTGTCTCCGTATCCCCATACGTTAGACTCGTGGCTACCGTCACCACTTTTATTGGCTCTTCTCGAAATCATTTGCGGGGATACGCTTTTTAATTCATAGGCCCAGCCTAATTTAGCAAAAAAATCTATAAACGTTGTAGAAGGATTGTAGACGTTTCCCAACTCTCCAGTTTTGTAATCCCATGGGAACACATGGTGGTAGTTATGCCAACCTTCACCTAAGGCGGCTAAGGATACTGCGAGGTTTTCTACAGGGCTGATATACCTAAAATAAACGAAATTAATAAATTTCAGTAGCATACAAAAACAAACACAAAAGAGTGCCCGGTTGCCTGTTAGAAATGGAGAATATAATTACGGTGGCGACTCTAGTGGCTACCGGAGGAACCAGCTTAAAGCACGGTACATTCAAATTTAAATATCTTAAATGATTGATTGTTTTCTTTAGTAACAATGTGTCAACCTTAGTTTTTTACTTGTTGTCTGTCGTGTGCAGAGTCTCTGGTTGTGTTTATGCTGCCGTTTAAAAAAATAAACTTATTTATTGTGTTTGGCTGTCATGCTCGGCAGCTTAGATTTAATGCTGCTAATTGAAATACATTTCCACGTGCAGACTAATTAATTAGTTTTCTTGGGGTGTTTAAACTGCATATGACACTTTGGAGAGGTTATATTAGTTAAATTCTTCAAAAAAATAATTATTTGTAAACAATTTGCCCTGAAATTTCCCCTAAAAATTTTTTCATAGCCAATACAGCTGGTATTGTTTCTAAAACAATTTTATTCGTAAAGTAATTATTTTTGAAGGAATTTAACAGATCCAAAGTTTCCCATGCAGTTTGTTATTGCAAAGTGTCCCGAACAACATTCGTGATATTCATACGAACATCACGTCGTGATTTTCACAAATTTTATTCATACGGACATCATCCGGACGACACTGCGAGAGAAATGAAAATCATGTCGTGATTTTTTATGCCATCGCTGTTTGTGATTGACCGATGGCACAAAAAATCATGTCGTGATTTTTTATACCAACGGTGTTTGGATAATCATTTTTGAGCCACGTTCGTACACTAAGAGAAAAATTATGTTGAATCAACAGTTTTTGCGGTTAAATACATTTAATATTTTCTTGGATTTAAACTTATTGGCATAAATTTATGAAAAGATTGAGCAAATAAATTAAGATGAAAACCTAAATAAATATTTTTCCTAATTACTTATGTTTCCAAGATACAGGGTGATAAAGTGTTACTTATCATATAAGTTTTTTTAATATAACTTCTACTATGGTAGTCTTGGAAAGGTGATATTTTGCGAACAGTAACTTACTACTTAAACACATATTTACACATAATTACAATTGTTTGAGTAAACACAGTGTCGTAGAAACGGGGGTTGCTTTAAGCTTATTCTCCCATACAAACTTTGAGGTTAGGTTTTTGCAACATTTGATGCAATTTTTCGATTACACAGTTCGGCTACCATTAAAAAGGTGTACCTCTCAAACTTCGATAAAAAAACCGTTTCCGAGATATTCGAATAATTGTTATATCGCATATGCGATATTATTTAAAAGGATTAAAATGTATATGATAACAAATTTTATTTTCTAATTGAAAAACTAAAAATGGCATTCCATGAGCCTCGGGACTTTTTGACCTGACCGCCACATTAAAAAAAGTTGTAGTTTTTTCAATTAAAAAATATACCTTTTAGTCCTTTAATGCGATATAATAATTATTGTAATCTCGAATATCTCGAAAACGGTATATTTTATCGAAGTTTGAGAGGTATATCTTTTTAATAGTAGCTGAACTGAGTAATCGAAAAATTGCATCAAATGGTATAAAAACCTAACCTCAAAGTTTGTATGGTACAATAAACTTAAGCAACCCCTGTTTCTACGACACTGTGTTCGCTGGAACAATTGTAATTATGTGTGAATATGTGTTTTGCTATTAAGTGACTGTTCGCAGAATATCATCTTTCCAAGTCTACCATAGTAGAAGTTATATTAAAAAAACTGATATGATAAGTAACACTTTTTTTACCTTGTATCTTTTAAATATACGTAATTAGGAAAAATATTTATTTAGATTTTCGTCTTATTTTGACTTTCTTAATCTGCTCCTAAATTTGTGTCACTAAGTTTAGGGACACCTTGTATAGTTAATTTAAATCCAAGAAAATATTGAATATTAAACTGTTGATTCAATTGTTAACATACTTTTTCTTTTAATGTACGAATGTGTCGCAAAAATGAATATCCAAACACCGATAGCATAAAAAATCATGTCGTGATTTTTTATGCCATCTGTGTTTGGATATTTATTTTTGCGCCACATTCGTACATTGAGAAAAAAAGTATACCCACATATATATTGAATCAACAGTTTTTGTGGTTAAATACATTCAATATTTTTTTTGATTTAAATTAATAGTTAATTTACATCCAAGAAAATATTAAATGTATTTAACCGCAAAAACTGTTCAATTGTTAACATACATTTTCTCACAATGTACGAATGTGGCGCAAAAATAAATATCCAAACATGTCGGTGCACCGATGGCATAAAAAATCATGTCGTGATTTTTTATGCCATCCGTGTTTGGATATTTATTTTGCGCCACATTCGTACATTGAGAGAGAAAGTATACGGCCATTCCACGCGTAACGGATGGGACAGTTGCAAGTTTTTATTTACAAAATAACATTGTTCTATTATATTACCAATGTCAAATTTTTATAAATAGTTCTAAACAAAAGCTGTTTAACAAGGTTTTTATTTGGCAATATTAGGTATCGTGGTTGACTGTTTAATTCCTTAAAAATTAATTTTTTCATTCAAAAATACTACTAGTACTGTTTTTGAATAAAAAAATTATTTTTTAAGGAATTAAATAGACAACCACGATATCTAATTTTGCCAAATAAAAACCTTGGAAAACAACTTTTGTAATAGAACTATTTATAAAAATTTAACATTAGTAATATAATATGACGATATTATTTTGTGAATAAAAACTTGCAACTCCGTTACGCGTGGAATGGAATATCTTTTTTAATTGAACCCGGACAACATTAGTGATATTCAAACAACGTTTTATCAATTGTAATGTGAATAACAAACTAGGTTTTAAATTCGCAGTTCGCAGAGCTCATACGCATGGGCAAATTTTGCAAATATCACACCGTGAGTTCTACATGATATCACTGTGATGAAGCATGTGTATGCACTCAGGGTATCACAGCGTGATAAAAAAAATCACGTTGTGATATCATCATGACTTCCCCAAGAAATCCCGATTGTTGTCCGGGGTTAAACGATTAAACACCCCCAAGTAAACTAATTAGTCTGCACGTGGAAATGTATTTCAATTAGCAGAATTTGCTAATATGCTAATAATATTAAATCCAAGAAATACCAATCAGTGCTTGGTAAGTACGGCAGCCAAACACAATAATTCTGTTTGTTTTTTTGAAAACGGCAGCATAAACACAACCAGAGACTGCACACAGCAGATAAGTAAGTTAGGTTATGTTACCCAATAGACCCGGTAATTCATTCATTAATAGCAAATAAACATAAGCCAACATCACTTTAGGACAAGGGGTGTAGAGCAGTAAAGGGGGAGTAAGCTGCTAGACCCCCACTCTAACAAAGAAGCGCGCGACCAAGCCGCTTACCATAGGCGTAGTCAGGAAATATTATTTATAATAAAATTAATTATTTGAATGTCACGTAATATGGTATTAATTTTTGTTTTCAATGCAAAATCGTAAAATTTTAAGTTAAAATTTTTAACATAACTTATTAATTATATAGCATGTATCATAACGTAGTCTACAAACAAAAATAATCTTCATATTGTACTTAATAAAATAAAACATACACACTTAAAACATATATTTTACAAAAAAAACTAAAATCATTACAAATATAAGCAAAAACTTGATTTGCAGAAAATGTTACATAATATTTTAGGTCAATGAAAATATCTAGTTTGGCAAACCCCAGAATATTTTAAAATAAATGAAATAATTTTTCCTTTTTTTAAGAACCTTTATACAATGTTACCTTCTATTTCACTAATTTATTTATTATTTTCATTTACTAAAAATTATACAAATTATTACCTTTTATTTTACTAATGTATGTTATAAAATGGTATGAGATATTTAAGAAAAAAAATTTACAGGAGACTATAGTTAAGGTGCTGGATTTTTGATAATATTTATTCGTGTCTAAATAAAATAGTTTTGGTTAACCAACTTCAGACTCTTGCTTGTTTTGAATCATCTAATTGTTTAAAAGTTTCATGGTGGATTCTCACTTTTCTTTAAGTATTTTATGCCAGTTTTTTTACATTAAAATCATTTTCTTCAAAATGATTTGAACAAATATAAGCCAGTTTGGGCATTATTTTATTTTCTTCAAAACCTAATAAAACGAACCAATGCATTTTTCGGTTTCGATGGGTTGGAAACCTACAAACTTTTTATTCTTTAAATTAAGTTCAATCCTTTGCAGTATAGGTAGATCTTAACATCCTCAAATATAAATAAATAATAATTATTAAAATATAAAATAATATAATACAAAAACTAAATACCGCGGACGCCTATGACAAAGATGTCTGACCTAACATTTTACTTACCGATGAAAGGATAAATTTATATTTAAATAGTACAGCTTTTTACATACTTGGCACTGTCTCACATTTTGTAACATAAAATACAATAACAGATATTTTCAAAACACAAAAACCCTTCAAAAACGTATCGCAAATCGTCAACACAAATGCCGCAAAATAATCATGAATTAAATTCCTCGCAGCCAATGCGCCGTTGCCATAGCTTAGGTTTTACAGTGTTTTCTTTGATTTGGTATTAAGTATTTCCTCAATAAAAATATTTGTTAATTTAAAACATGCATAGGTTATATAAAATTTATAAAAAAGGAAAGATTGATGATGTTTATAATAACTTTGGATTGAAAGTGATGCTAAACAGATTTTATTTATTTACAAGTGTTTGTCCGGAGAAAAACAGTGTTCTAGTGTCGCTTAGAATGTTCCTATGTATTCGCTACAGATATCATGTAAATAATCGGGTCTATTGGGTTTGATGTCTTTGATGTTACCATAGAAAACAAAACAATCATTTAAGAAATTTAAATTTGAATATAGCGAGCTTCAAGCTGGTTCTTCCTAGAGTCCTCACAGTAATTATATTCCCCACTTCTAACAGGCAATGTGGCATTTTTTTGTGTTTGTTTCCCTATGGTCAGTAGTTATGTTCTGTGGTCAGTAGTAAGTTTGCTGTCACTTACTTGTCGTAAGGTTTTTGTCCCCACATATGGGCTATGCTATTTACAAAAAATGCAATATTTAAAGTAAATGAAAACCTCATATTAAAATTAATCCAAAAAGAAGTCCAAAGATCCTCATTCCAGTAATAAACTGGAATAATAACGGGCAGAAAAATGTTAAAGATGAAAAAAAGTGGGGGATAGAATCTGTAACAAACATAATAAAGTAAATTTAGAAAATAATTTTAATTAACACAGTTATGATCATGAGTTTTTTATAATCACTGCATAATATAAACTTTACCAAGATTACATTTTAATTATGCAAATATAAACTGTTAATAGTAGATTTACCTTATACTTAGTAATATAATAAAATAAAGATAATTATCTACTAATAGCTTTTAAATAATTATTAAGAAACTAATTTATAAAATAACGTATAGGTATGTTAAATGTTTGGGAAATTTTATTTTGTTTTTAATTTAATTAATGAATTTACAATAATTAATATTATAAAATATCACAAATGATAGTATTTGAACAAAGTTGTTGTTATTTTGTAAAAAAATGTTTCTTACTTTTTCTGCCACATAACAATTGGATCTGCTTCTAAATCACTCATATCAACAGCTTTTCTTTTTTCCACAACTTTTGGATGTGGAGACAAAACCAACCATCCAACATGAGAGAAAAAAAACCCTCTCTTAGCATTATGAGGATCTGCATCACTTTCGCTATATTTGTGATGGACTCTATGATCTAAAGCCCAGGCGTACACATGCCTCTAAAACAGAAATGGAATTTAACTTTATATTAACTTTTACATTTCTATATAAATATTAATATTTTAACAGTATGAACTTTTTGCGAATATAATAATAAGTACAATTTTACAGCGTATCCGGAAAATGACACTAACGCTAGTAAGTAATACCCGCTAGCTAACGTTGACACATGTATTTTTGACAATTTGGGTCAAAAAAATAAAAATATATAGGTAATCATAAATTTATAAATTTATTATTATTACTAACAAAGTGACCCATTTGTTTGCGACTCACCCCTGTAAAATCTTTATTTATTGTGCGATTTTAACCGGATTTGTTTAAAAGTGTAGACTCGCTATATTTTTACAAAATACAAGGTTTTCTATGTCAGTCACAATAATAACTACAACAATTTATTCTGTCAAGTTATCCATGAAAAAAACATTGAAATAAAATTAAACTTATAGTAATAGTACCATGTTACTATTGGTTTAATTTAAGCATTTCAAAAATATACAATGATGGAAACGTTAGTATGTTTTGCCTAATAAACATATTTTTGCACGAGTCTCTCATTTTCAAACCGAACATACATCGTATCGCCCGTTTTTGAAGAATAAAAACCCTGTCCGATGTTATAGAATTTCCCCACAATATGATAGCATAACGCATTATGATGAATTCTATATTAGAGTTATAGAACATTTTTACCACTTTTGCATTAGAAATATTTTGTAACATTTTAAGAGCATAGCATGCACTACTACACTTAGTACATACCAGATTAACTTGCTCCTTCCAATTTAGTGACATATCAATATTAACACCTAACAATTTTGTGAATGAAACTTGTTTAATTGTTTTATTGTTTAATTTAATAAGTGGGCTTTTAATGTAATATGCACCATATGGATAACATTCAATATTAAAAGTTTTTTCCTGGTTTAAAGATAACCCATTTTTTAGAAAATAATTGTAAATTTTATTCATATTTAAATTAAGTTTATTGGACATTTCTAATTCATTATTGGCAATTGAAATAATCGTAAGATCATCAGCAAATGAACATGAGGAGTGATTTTTCAAAAGGTCGTATTTCCATTTGCAACAATTTTTCAAAAAAAATGACTATAACCTGTATAGGTTAGGGCAATATAGATTATTTAAAAAAAAATTCTGATGAATATTTAATAATACTTCAGACCTGCTGTCATATTTCGCCGTTAATATATGCCTTTTAACCATACCTTTGGGATTTTGTGAAAAAATTACATTCAAGTAAAAATGGAAATAAGGCCTTTTGAAAAATCACTCCTTATATTCTATTCATGTTGCAAGTCATTACTGTATAATAAAAATAAAAGAGGTCCTAACACACTTCCTTGAGGGACTCCTATATCAACATTCCATATATCTAGATACTCAATGTTTTTGTTTCCCTTTTGTGAAAATGAATTGTTACATCTAATAAAGTATAAATTAAAAAATAAATCATCTAGTGGTCCAGACAACGTACCAAACTTCTTAATTAAAAAAATAATTCACATTCTAATAAAACCAATAACATACATGGTAAATCTATCTTTTAAAACGGGAGAATTTCCTTATAATCTAAAAACTGGAAAGGTTATTCCGGTATTTAAGAAGAAGAATCATAAAACAATAGAAAATTATAGACCAATCACGCTTACTTCAGTGTTCTCTAAAATTTTTGAGTATGCATATCAAGAAAGACTTATGAATTTTTTAAATAAAAACTCTATTTTAACTGACAAACAACATGGATTTAGAAGCAAACGGTCGACCTCCACTGCTATCCATGATTTTTACAATGAAATTTTAAAATATATTGACGCAGGAAACTGCCCTGTAGGAATTTTCTGTGATTTAAGTAAGGCATTCGACTGAGTCAATCATAATATATTACTTGCTAAATTGGAAGATTCAGGGATTAGAGGGGCTGCCTTATCCTGGATTCGTTCGTTTTTAAGTGAGCGTCAACAATATGTATGTGTAACTCATTCAGATAGTTTCAGTAGAAACAATTTTGTATCTGCTAATTTGAAAGTAACAATGGGTGTACCTCAGGGGACAATTTTGGGACCTATCCTTTTTTTACTATATCTTAATCAACTCGAAATAACTTTACATAATAAATTCTTCACAATGTATGCCGATGACTTGTCGCTTCTTGTAACCCAAACATCAAGTAGTTCACAAGAACAGGAGATAGATAATGTCTTAAAAATTATCGCAAAATTTTTTAGTGATCATACTTTATTTTTTAACGCTGATAAAACTCAATTTGTACAATTTCATTTTAGACAAAAATTATGTAAACCAATCACTTTTAATGAATCTAACATTAAATCAATACCGGCTGCAAAGTTCTTGGGTCTAACATTGGATAAAAATCTCACTTTTTCAAGTCACTGTGAACAAATTGTAAATAAGCTAAATTCGTTGGTATTCTTGTTTAGTAACCTAAAAACGGTGCTTAACAGGGACCAATTGATCGGTTTGTACTATGCTCAGGTTGAATCACGTTTAAGATATTGTGTATGTTTCTGGGGTAATGCAGCGTCCGCCCAGGATGTATTTATATCTCAAAAACGAATTATACGTTGCGTTTTTGGACTCTCAAACAAACATACTTGTAAAAAAGTATTTAGAGAATATAATATACTCACTTTGGCCAGTCTTTATGTATTTGAATTATGTATTGTTTTCAATAATAAAAACAAATTTTCGAAAAATTGCGATTATCACAATTTTAATACCAGACATAACCTAAACTACCGACTACCTCATGTTCGACTTAATATTAGTGAAAGAACTCCAGATATTATGGGTCCTAGAGCCTTTAACTTGCTACCTCGCAATATTAAAACAATTTCTAAAATTAATACTTTTAAATATGAATTAAAATTGCTTTAACATCTAAATGTTTGTATACATTATCAGAGTTTTTTACTTAATGTTTGTTGGTAAATTTTTAGTGCTGTCTTTTTAGACTTTCTAGTTTTTAGTTTTTAGTTTTTAGGTTTAGTTTTTATTTCAACACATTTATGTATGTTCCATGGAAATAAATAAATATTATTATTATTATTCCAAACGTCTGATTTTTCGTCCTCAACAAGAACAAATTGCTTTCTGTTTGACAAATAGGATTTTAATAATTTATTACGCAAACCATAACATTCAATTTTTTTAAGTAGAATTTCATGATTGACGAAATCGAATGCTTTTGAAAGATCTACAAATGAAGCCATAACTTTAAATTTGTCATTTATAAATATAGTCAACAATATTTGTTAAAGCAGTTAGTGTGGATCGATTTTTACGAAAACCATGCTGATTTTTCGATAATATATTGTGAATATCCAAAAATTTAATTATTCGTCCAGCTAGACATTTTTCAAGAATTTTTTAGATGACAAAAGCGCTATTGGTCTATAGTTTTGAATTGAACTTTTATCGCCCTTTTTAAAAAGACAAATAATTTTAGCATATTTTAGACAGGAAAAATTTCTTTCGTAAAGCAAGTATTTACCAAATGGTAAATGGTAAAACAATATATGGGGCACATAATTTAATTAAAAATGAAGGTATATTATCTGGACCACACTTTTTGTTGTTTTTAAAGCGTATATTATATTAACATTTCATTTTCTATAACAGGTGAAAGAAAGAATGATTAATTTATAGATGTATTTTAAAATTTACATTTTTTGTGTTTTTTGGTATTGAGTTTTATGGGGCATTTATAAAAAAAAATTACAAATTCATTAGAATTTTTTTCTTTATCAGTTGTTGCTTCATTATTTATAATAAAGGTCAAATTTTGATTTTGTTTTTTATTGCCAATATTTTTATTTATGTAATTCCATACTGTTTTTGACAAGTTATTTGAGTTTTTTGAATAACACCATTACACTTTAAATTATATAAATCTTTTAGTTTTGCTGATGATATTTTAATTCCTTGTGTAATCCAATTCCTATTGCTTTTTTGTAACTTTTTAAAACATAATGAAAAAGACAGACTGCCAACTTTCATTAGAAAGGTGCGATAAAAAAGTTGTTTATTTTTTTGAGAAAATATCCTATGTTTAATGGTAGAAATATTCTCTCCACGTAAAATAATATAATTTGTCCAGACAATCCATTTTGAAGTATATCTTTCATGCATATCACATCATTAAAATTGGTAAAAATATAGTCCAAGGCACTATAAGTGTTATTTTGAATTATTGTTGGTTTTTTAAAAACACTACTCAAGTAAAAGGAATTTGTTAAGTCGATTAATTTAGTTTTATCTTTTGAATTAGACAAAAAAATTATATTAAGATCTCCAGCTAATATAATTTTATAATAAGTTTGTTTGTTACACAATATGAACAATAACTCTTCCAATTAAAAAAAAAATATATTAACGTCACCGGTTGGTGATCTATATAAACATAAAATACAAATATTGAACTCGTTTAATTTAATTGCACAACATTCAAATATTTTATCTTCGCATAAGTAAAATATTTCACTCAAATTAGTAAAATTAATTGAATTCTTTGTATAAATTGTTACTCCGCCATGATTAAAATTAGTTCTGCAATAGGAGCTAGCTAAGATTATAGATAAATTTTATATAATCATAGGTATTAGATTTACTACACCAAGTTTATGTAAAACAAAAAATGTCTGCTTCATGTGCTGATAGCAAAATTTCAAAATCCTCTAACTTATTTTTTTATGCACTGCACATTTTGACGAAGAACACAAAAATTTTTAAAAATTTGATGACACTTTTATTCTTCAGTATTGTTTTTTCGAAAAAAACACAGTCTTTTACTATAACACCTTGGGGCCATTTTGTAGGATCAAACAGAATTTTTTTAATTTAAACTCAACGCTCACCTTAAAACTGCTGTTATTTTCCTTGCTTTCTAACTTTTTAATATGGAATGTATGGTTGGGCCATATTTCGGTCATAAATTCTTGAAGAACAGTTTCAGCTATACTTCCTTTAATATGACCTACGTAAACGTACGCATACTTCTCCACTCCTCAATTTTTAATTTGTTATCACTTGCACCTTCTATTGCATTTTTATTCTTTATTTGTTCATCAACAGCATTTGTTTGATTTTTGACAGCACTGGGTTCACCAAGTGAAGGCAATGTAAAATTCTTGTTTTTTGTTCCTTGTTTTTATAATTGGTTTTGTTAACTGTATTAACTTTATTCTTTTCCATCATAGGTGTCGTTGTTTGAATATTATTACCATTTTTATTTTGTAATAATAGATTAATTTGTTCCTGATCAGATACTCTTCGTTCCAAATGATTAATTAAATGGTTTAAAGATGAGTTGTGTTGCTTAAGATAAACATTTTCTACCTTAGACTCAATGCAGATCTTTTTATTACAACTTCTCACTGCCACGTCAATATTTTCTTACAATTTTCACTTATAAACAATTCCTTGACAAAATTGCTTAATAAAGCATTGTTATTATAACTTTGAGGCACTTTCCTTGTTATTAAGATATCATTTAATTCACTTTTTTAAGTTTGTTTAGCTCCACACTAATCAACGTATTCACACTCTCAGCCATATTTAGCATATATATATATATATATATATATATATATATATATATATATATATATATATATAATCGCACAATAAATAAAGATTTTACTGGGGTGAGTCGCAATGAAAATGGGTCACACTATATATATATATATATTTATATATATATATATATACATCCCGCTATACTTATGGCGTCCATACATTGACGTATTACATTGGATATGACGTCCGATTGGCATACGGCTTCCGTATATGGACGCCATATCGACTACCCACACAATTCAGTTTATTTTTTAGTAAAAACATTTCTGGTAAAATTTTATCGGGACGCCACATGATCGGTGTTATGTACGTTTTTGTATATTTTAGTTCTGCATTATTACGCTTGGCTTAGTTGCGCTCTAGTCGACCGTCTGTAT